CCCTCACATTTAATGCTGGGATTGACAGCGACTCACGAACTATAAAAAAATCAAATTTACAAATTGGTTGGTGAAATGATAAACTGGATTTTGCTCGTTATATTTAATGCTAGGATTGACGATCATTGAGTACAAAACAAACTACGAGTAAATGAAACTCCGTATCTGCACCGAAAAACAAATGCAGTTTGCCGTGGCTAACCCTTTTACCCGTCTGTTGCCAAGTGGGAACATGTTTATGTGGAAAAGATTATGTTCTCAAGACTCCCAAGATGAACCATGGAAAATACTTACTGGTAAGCAAATTACCATGAAGTTGAGTTCTGCCTCTTCCGAATTTTGCAGCTGTCCCTAATGCTTAATGTTTTGAAGCTGTAACCAAAACTTTTTAAACATGAAGTCCCGCATCTGTTGCGATTACAGAACAACTATATTAAGTAATTCATTTTTTCATGCTACAACGCTACTTTCTATATACCACGAAAAATTTTTTCAGTAACACGGATTCGGATTTGAACAAAAATTCAGTCGGATCGACGGATCGGGCCTAAAAATACCACGGATCGGCGGATTTGCATACCCCTATTCACCCCCCTCCTTGAGTGAAAACTCCGCCAAGAGGAATTTGTTGGCATAATAATATTTGGGTAACGCTTTAAGCTTATTCTGCCGAATTTTATATGGTCGTAATGTAATGACGTCACTACCCGAAAACTGGGTAATAGACTATCAGTATCAATATTGGTTTGCAAATTGGTTTGCCATTTGTCAGTAAGCTAGCCTGTTCAAACCCCGCTATTTCTCTGCAAAGGGAGTATCTTCATTTCTCGGTTTTTTTAAGACCCTGAGTATTGGTCCGGCCCGAGGAATCGAACCCGCGACCTCCCGCTCAAAATTTGGGGGTGACAAAGAAAGAACAGTATGGTATGTTACGGTATTTTCTGGAGTGGTCAATTACAATTCTTTCTGTTTCTCTTCACGTTTTCTCTTTCTCTTTTCTTTATTTAGTCTTAAACATGTACAGCATTTGATGATGATGATGATACCTTTATTAAAGTGTCAAACTGTAATAGCGGTATATAACCACTAAGTGGGGACACTAAAATAAATTTAAAAAAATAAATCAATTAATAAATTAATTAAAAATTAAGAAAAACTATGTACAGTATAAGCAAGTGAGAAATTCGAGAGAACTATATACAATATGTACAAATGTATCCATTACTTATAAATAAAAAAAAAAAAAGAAATAAAAGATTAAGAAGTGCAAAGAGAGCAGTTAGAGCAGTTATTGTCATCTAATAGCATGCTAAGATCCACTTTTCTGATGTTATATTTGAAGGAGGACAACGTGGAAGCTTTTTTCACATTACTAGGAACAGAACTCCAAACCCTTGGGCCCATATACCTGAGCGAGTGCTTTCCAAAGGAGACTGTGTTGAATCTGGGTATAGTGAAGTCATGATTGCGCAGTTCATACTTAATTGCAGGCTGTTCAAAGAGAGTGCTAATGTATGCTGGGCACATGTTGTTTTTAACTTTATACATGAGAATAGCTATGTCCTGTAGTCGCCGGTTGTGTAGAGTAGATATCCCAGCCATAGATAGTAATTGACCATAGGACGAATGTTTATCACAATATATAGCCCTAAGTGCTCTTTCCTGGATACGCTCTAGTCGTCTAGAATCACTAGCACGGCAAAAATGCCATATAAGGTGACAGTAGGTTAAATACGGGAGAACAGCTGCCTTATATAACTGTAACTTAGTTTGTGTGGGTATAAGGTTCCTGAGCCTCATGAGAACGCCTACCCGCTGGGCGCTCTTCTTAGAGATACTACTTATATGTTCATCAAAACGAAGATTGTTATCAATACAGACACCTAATAGCTTGAGACATTCAGTGGATCTGACTTCATGATTGTCAATCATAATACTGTCCATAGACTTCCTTCCGCAACCAAGTGCCATTGTCTGGTACTTGTCCAAATTTCCCTTTAGTAAATTAGCTCTGTACCATGAAGATGCTGACTCAGCGCAAACAGCAAGATCATCATGCACATCAGAGAGGGTGCTGCGAACGACATAAAACTGGTGGTCATCTGCATACATATTCATGTTCGCATCAACAGTATAAGTCAAATCGTTTTGGAAGATGTTCCAGATGAGAGGTCCAAATGCAGAACCCTGTGGGCATCCCCTGGTCACCCTCTGCCACTCGCTCACTACAGATCCTAGCTTGACCCTGTTATAACGGTCTGTGAAGTAGGAGCCCATCAATCGCAGACTTCTTTCCTCAACACCATAAGCTTTAAGTTTTGCAAGTGTAAGTGGATGGTAAAGTGAATCGAAGGCTTTGCTCATGTCCGTGGAGAGAACACCCACAACGTTATGCTCATCCAGAGCGAATTTCCAATTCTCAGTCAAAGATAAGAGAGCTGTCTCACAGCTATTGTTTTTCCTGTAAGCTGTTAGTTTGTCGCACAGTTTGTTATTAAAACCATAACTGAGTTGCTTGCTGAGTAATTGTTCAAAGAGTTTGTTTACAGTAACTTGTACAGTTATGGGTCTGTAGTTTCCCATTTTATGGGGATCTTCCTTCTTAAAAACGGGTGTCCATTCACCCCTTTTCCATCCCAAGGGCCACTCTCCGAGGGTTATGCATGAATTAAATAGTGACGTCAATGGATTTGTTAGCTCAGTAGCTCCAAGCTTGAGCGCCATGGGAGGGATGCCGTCCCAGCCTGTACTCTTCCTTACATTGACGTTTTGCAGCGCCTTTTCAACTTCAAAACTCTGAAGATTCTGAAACTGGAAGCCTTGATATCCTGTCATCTTCTGCGTAATATTCTGGACACTAGGGTGGGTGGCGAGAACTTTGTCATCAACCGCACTGGTGTCTCCAATCCCATCAGCCACAGTAGCAAAATATTCACACAAGTGATTAGAAACCGCACATTGGTCTCTACAGATGGTCCCATTGATACTTAGGCTGAGCTCATTTGTGTTGACCTTGTGCTTATCAGTCAGAAAGGGCATAAATGTCTTATAGAACTCACTCGGCTTGCACTTAAGCTTAGTGGCTTGCTCTTTCCAATATGTCCTTATTGCCTTTCTCCGGAGTCGGGTGGCCTCGTTTCTGGTTATCCGCCTAGCTTCCCAGTTCTCACTGGTTTGTTCCTTGAGATACTTTTTTGCTGCCCTCCTCTTAGCTCTTATGGCACCTTTCCATTCTTTAGTCATGTATGGAACATCCTGAGCCCTAACCCGCATCTTCTTCGTAGGCATATGTGTATTGACAATACTGGACAGAAGCATTTCCATAAAATTTGCCTTGTCGTCACATGAATTGAAAATTTCACTAACATGCCATGGAGCATACATTAGATCTTCTTTGTATTTCTCCACATCAAAATCCTTTAGAGATTTAAATGTTACAATCTTGCCTTTCTGGTGTTTTACCGTCTCATTCAGGAATCCATAAATAAGTCCGTGGTCACTGAGCGCAGGATCATGTACCCCACAATTCTCAAATAGTTCCGGGTGGTTAGTGAGAATAACATCGATCAAGCTCTTAGTGATAAGAGAGCCTCTCATTTGTATTCGAGTGGGTTCAGTTACCATACATTCGAGGCCCTGTTCCACCTCAAGATCAAGAAGAAGCTTTCCTTCAGGGCTGCTGGGTTCCATCCTGTTCAGGTTTAGGTCGCCTGTTATTATAACCGTCGGATATTGAAGGCTAGCCCAGTTGGCAATATGACTTAATTCCTCCTCAAGTAGAAGTCTGTATTTACCAGTAAGCTTCTTAGGCGGTCTGTAGATAACCAGTATAATGGCATTTCTCGATTTGAGGCCAATCTCCAAGGCCAAAGGCTCAATAGTTTTATAACACCTGTCAAAGGTGACTCTCTTGGAGAGTATCTTAGATGAGACAAACAAGAGAACACCACCTCCACCCTTTTTTCGGTCATTTCGGTGCAAGTAGTACCCTGGTATTAGGAACTGGGAGTCTGGGTATGAACGATCAATTTTAGTCTCACTGACAGCCATAATTTGCACCTTATTATTGATAATAATATCTTTCAGCTCATCAAATTTGTTCTGAATGCTGTTTATATTTAGGTGACATAATAACATGCCCTTGGCATTTTTCTGCCTTGCCGCATTTAGTAGGTCGGGACCAGTAAATGTGTTAGGTGTAGTTCCATTTTCTCCCTGATCAGTCAGTGTGATGTTATTTGTGTCAAGATCAGTATCCGAAAAACAGGCCTCGTTGAGCATCTCAGCATCCGAACACCTGTAGAATGGCAGAGCCGCCCATGTGCATCTATTGCATAGCCAGTTGTTCACCATTGATTTCAGGTACACACACTTTAAGTGAAAACATCCCATACAACTGGCACAGGAAATGTTCTTTTGGTTCCACCTAATTGTTTTCTGACAATGATCGCACTTTTCCGCTGTTGGTTTCGACCTGGATAATTGATTATTGGTGCTTGCCGCCTTTCCCTGGCAAGGCCCGGGATTTTTTTCCACATCACCGCTTAACAAGAGCGCTTGAGTAGCCATAGAATTACTGTAATAAGCAATGCGTGTTTTGGAATATCGTAGCTTACGCCATTTTGTGAATAGACCAGGATCTACTGTTCCATGACAGGCGCGAAAAAGAACAAAGGAGATGTTTTGATGGTTACGCTCCAACACCAAGAAATTCCACGCACTCTTGAATAAAGACCCATTGACTGCAGGCGTTAATTCCAAGAGCTCTTCATTGCGGAGTACTCTTGGGACGACCTTCCACTCTCGTATGCAAATACGGAACTCCATTACGAAATCTTTCCAATCCCGGACTTGAAACGTCCAAACGTCTCCTTCATAACCATTTAAATCAATTTTGGTGACTGCCAATTGAGAGATATTACCTTTAGTAAACTGCTCGTTGAGTTCAAACACATTAGGACGGCAAGTTGCGGAGTATACAAGACAAATTACGGAGAGCAAAAATCCGTGTCTGACCGACATATGTTATTACGTTACCAATAAATCTGGTATTAGTATAGGTAATAGCATGATTTGTAGTGATATTTGGTATAAATACCACGAGTGATATTTCGAAATTGTTATACGAAATTTCACGAGCCGTTCTAAGGCGAGTGAAATTTGAGACAATTTTGAAATATCACGAGTGGTATTTATGCCAAATATCACGTACAAATCATGCTGTTAATTGTTTATACTACTATCCGCAAAAGGTTTGTAATTTTCACATGTAGGTATTTCAAATTAACCTGAAATACCACTGCTCTAAGCCAATCAAATTGCAAAAATTTCTCATGTAGTAGTATAAGGGTGTATATCCGCGTTCAGCAGCAAAAAATTTCTTCCGCGAATCCACGTTTCTGCGACGATTTGTATGCTATTCAACATGGCAGGGTAAGGGGTGCAGAAAAGATCAGAACTCACTTACTTCTGTGGGGCTTCTGCGAGATCGCTCCTGATCAGACCATAACATTCGCAGTGGATATAACAAATGAGGGCCCACGGAAGTACGCATCGCTGTATGCTGGATCCAAATTGTGCACCGTGGACTTTGAAAAAAATTGTCTCAGGTATGGCTGCCTGTTTGTAAAGAGGAAAGCGCGCAACGACTTTTATGGAAGGCAACACCTAGAATATTTCTTTTACCAAGCTAATCCCCAGCCCGTTTGGATTCCAGTGGAAGACGGACACCCGTTACCAAAAAAGATCATCAAAACGGGCACTACAGGTTTTGGTCGATCTCCTGGAAACGGAGAGAAACCTCTTAAAGTGATTTTAGCCAGCAATGGCTGTCAGCTTACTAATATCTATACTACTAGTAATAGAGAGTCGATCTTGCGTAGTGGCACATGTCTTTGCGACACTGGCCACGAATTCGTTCCAGCCAACACTGGTGATCCTGTACCTCCCCACGCAGTCATCGGTGGGGTTAGTGTCCCCGAAGGATCGCTGTACCTTGGGAGAGTCGGAGGCAACATTCCATGTGTAATTGAAGTTGAAAGGGGCAAGGTTAAATCCTTCTGTTACGGCCTTATGAATAAAGTTCAAAGCGGCTAACAAACGATCCAAACGTTTAGATGGCAGGTTGTTTACTCCAGACTAGATTTACAACTTGTGTTAATGCACTACTGAGTGGGACTCAGCTTTATATGTGCTATTAACTAAGTTTGTCTGTCATTGCTTTTTTGGCGAATGAGTCCAATATACTGTAACTTTAAATTTCCTTCAGTAATTTTTTGTCTCTCTGAAACAGCTTAGATGAATGCCTTGCATTATAATTAAGACGCAGTGAAAAAAAAAACGAGGCGAATAAATAGGACCGACTTCTGCTAATCTGGCGAACCTAACTTAAGGTGAGTATGTAGACAATGCACCAAAAAATAGTTTGCCAAATTGCTTTATAACAAATACAGGGTGGTATATAGTTCTTAATACTCACATAGCTCATATCAGCCTTTTTATTTTCCACACGTTTAAGTAAGCACTGTAGACCTCATTGAAATTAGAAACTCAGTACACAGCGATATCAATATGGCTGTTTTTTTGTGATCTCACCCGTAACAGGAAACGTCCCTTTTTTCTCAGAAAAACAGGATGTGACAAAACTCAAGACTATTTAAAAAACAGACACATAGCCTCCCCCGCCCCCTGGCCTACCTCCCAGGCGGACGTTCTTAGGGTTTCTCCGCGCGTTTCTTAGATAAGGAGCAACCTAACGAAGTCGTAAGATCGTCTGCTACTTCCTTATTACGGACAGTTTTCTTTTCTCCCTAAGGAAAGCCTGCATGTACCCATTTTTTGAGAAGTTTACGTTTACATTCATCCGACTGGTGGGTTATTGTCTGACTCTTGTGCCCCAGAGACAAAACGGTTGAAGCGTAACATTTTTTTGCCGACAAAGCACAAATTAGGGCCAATATTTGAACCCTTGATAGGTCTTTTCGATCGCATGATGTGCGGTCAACACAGAAGCATGACCTAGTCGGATTGTAAAATGTGATCTTGTGGCACCAGTTTGTAAAGTCGGCAGTGTAAAATGTAAGTGAATGCATTTTACACGCGAAATTTGGAGCTGCTCGGGAGATTCTGGTCTACATTTCTATCTATAAAATTATAATACACTGACAGCTCAGTTACTCTAAAAATCACACGGGAACTTCGCTGCCATTATAATTTAGCATAAGTTCTTTGCTCGACAGCATTGAATACAGAAACTTCCAAAATTTTATAAGGTGTATTTATACAGGTCATGAACTAATATGAGCGGACTATCGGTGAGTAAAATCGAGTGTACTACACTCATTCTCCATCACCTCGGATGTGACAGGTGAAGTCATGCAAAACTAGCGTATACATCAACAATTTGCGATGAATAGGACCCGTCCACACGTATCCGTAGTTTAAAACCGGAGATTTTTCTCTTCGGTTTGGCCTAACCGTCCAGACGTATTCGGTCAAAACGGTCACCGAAAACGCATCTTTTTTAAAGCGCTCTCCACAGTGAAGATTTTTGATAACACTGGCTTCTATTTTACGTTTGCACGGACGAAAACGGATCTTTTCGAATACGATTATGAATCATTTAATACCAGCATAACGCATGCTCCGTAAGGGATGCTATCGTATTTCCATTGACTAGTGTTTTCGTATAGACGGGCGAGAACGGTTCCAATACGCTTCGAGTGGATGCGTGTTTTTTTGAAAACGGAGGAAAAAAATCATTCTCCGTTTTCAAAAATATCTGGATACGTGTGGTGGTAGCCTCCCACGCAGGCGTTTTTAGGGGAGCTCGTATTTCTTCCCTCCCCACAAAGGGAAGAAATACGAGCTCCGCTAAAAACGCCTGCGTGGGAGGCTAGTGTGGTTGGGGCCTCAGTTTAAACTTGTTCTAATGGCAGACATAAGACGATGATTATTGGTCACATCTCGCCGCACTGTGATATAACAACTGGTAATGAAGGTCTGTTGTTAGGTCCAACGGGAACATTCTAAGTTGAGAAAGAAATGGAGAAAAATAGATTTCAATTATAGACACTAAACAGTTATAACAAAAACAACAACAACAACAATAATGATAATAATAACAACAAGAAGAAAACAAGAACAAGAACAAGAGGGTGTTACAAGTAACCTCTCTTGGACGTGGTTGAAGAAAGGGGAATTCAAGAAGGAGACAAAAGGATTGTTAACAGCGGCCCAGGAACAGGCATTGCGAACCAATGCAATAAAGGCAAAGATTGACAAACAGGCTGTCAGCTCAAAATACAAGTGGTGCAAGAGTGTGGACGAATTAGTAAGCCCACCTAGTTTGCGAATGCTCAGCGTTGGCTCAGAGAGAATATAAATGTAGACATGATGGCGTTGCAAAAGCTGGCAATTGGTGCCTGTGCAGAAAGTACGGATCGGACGTTACTGACAAGTGGTATGAGCATGTCTCTGGAAAAGTTTGAGAGTCCGAGAAGGTCAAATCCCTTGGGATTTTAGCATACAGACTGATCATCAGCTTGAACACAAAAGGCCTGATCTAGTTGAAGTAGACAAACAACAAGCAGTTTGCCAAATTATTGACGTAGCCGTACCAGGGGATGTAAGGGTGGAATTAAAGGAGAAAGAGAAGACCTGGCAAGGAAATTGAGAAGGAAGGTCAAAACAACAGCTGTGCCTATTGTTATCGGGGCACTGGGGACAGTGCCAAAAGGATTAGTCGGCCATCTTGAAAGCATAGGGGTGAATCTTGATGTGGCTCAGATTCAAAAGACTGCCCTACTAGGAACAGCACGAATCCTCCGACAGGTTCTCCACTACTAAGGTTGCAGGATGGGACTTGTACCGGGAACTGGCTAACAGGAGCAGAATCTATTCAAAAAGCAGTGCAGCTTTTGTTGATCATTATGGTAGCAAGATAAGTCAGTTGTCAAAACCATCCGACCTGCAACTTCATCAAAGAAAGATTTCCCGAGCACATGGCAGTGCAACTCAAGAAAACAAAAAAAAAAAAAAAATAACCATTATATATACATATATATATTTTTAATTAAAAACAAAAAATCTATAACTCGAAAAATAACTCCCCATTTTAGTGGCTCCCATGAAAATGAAAAATTTGTTAACCACAAAACCACCCACACTTCACCAAAAAAAACAAAAAAAAAAAAAAAATGACCATTATATATACATATATATATTTTTAATTAAACACAAATAGTCTATAACTCGGAAAATAACTCCCCATGTTAGTGGCTTCCATGAAACTGAGAAATTTGTTAAGCGCGAAACCAACCATACTTTCACAGAAACTGGATTTTTAATCGCCACAGTTTCCAGTGGTTCACACTCCACAAAAAAATTCTAGATCTCAAATCGTCTTCCGAACAGATATTTTTCCGAAAATTGTCGTTGGGTGCCCCTGACTCCAATTGCAAAATGAAAATACATTGCATTGAAACAGCTCTAGGTCTCTACAATTGTAGGTATAACATACCTCAATTTTTCTCATGACTAAAAGACCATCGACAACTTTACCTGTAAAGAAATAAGATTGTGATTGGCTTAGTTCTCGTGCTTTAGCTTGCGACTGAGACAATCATTTTTTCCCTTTTTTGCCTGATCGTATGCGACAGATTATATTTTGTAAGTGGAATCGGCAGTAGAATGAGAAGTAAGAAAAGAATGACATAAACATAAAAAGGAAATGTTCAAGTTCTTGCGCTTTCGATTCTGTGAAGTTGACGAATTTTTTTTTATTTTATTGGCTCATTAACGCTTTCTCTAAACGACTATTCAATTCCGACGCTAGTGAAGCCCTGACCTTAGAAAAAGCAAATATCTAAAATATAAAAATGGTTGACTACCAAACGCCTCTCTTTCCTTAGTCCTTTGAGCGAAAGCCGGGCACAAGAAGATGGCTATGTTAAGGTGACTGAGAGCGTGAAACGAGAGAGTAGTGTTAAAAGTGTTATGTGTGCTTTGTAATCGAGAAAATAAGGAACAAGTAAACAAACAAAACAACTTAAAACAGTAAGTGAGAAACTCAGCTTAAAATTTTACCAATGATTGTTATCCCTCTAGTCAACTAGGCTGTCCTAGGGGTAGAACATGATGACCTGTGATGACGACGTGCTATGCCGCAAGTCGGTTTTTTACCGCTATACCGTAAAATTCCGAAAATAAGCCCCTCCATGTACAAGCCCCTGCAAATATAAGCCATACACACTCGTAACGCAAAAACCCTCCGTTAAATCGCCCCTCCAAATATAAGTCCCCCCCCCCCACCCCCCGCCCTCCAGGGGTTTGTACTTGGAAATTGCGCTCAAATACAAAGTAAAACAAAGGAAAAACGGTAAATTTCCTTCCAACTATCAGGCTAGCCCAATTGATTTTGAAACGCAAATTTCCCTCAATAGATTAGCGCTTCTGAATATAAGCCCCTCACAAAGGGCCTTTGAAAAATATATAACAAGAAAGGGGGCTTATTTTCGGAATTTTACGGTATTTGAGACTGAGTCAGTCCAGAGTCATTGTCTTTAAGTCCAAGACTCAATTCTCTACTGGCTTAAGAATTATTTGGAATTAGTCCTAGGACTTCTTAGTTACTGTATGAAGCCATTCCCAGACATTCCCAGAAGTTCCAAGCTTTTAAATTGTTCCTTAAAATTTAATTTGAATGGCTTGGTCCAATTAGAATTCCCAGTAAATTTTCCAGTTGTTTGTTAAGCCATTCCCAGAGATTCCCAGAAATTCCAAGTTTTTAATTTCTTCCTAATTTGCATGACTTGGAATTACTGGGAATTCCTAGAGTAATTCCCAGTTGCATGTTAAGCCATTCCCAGAGATTCCCAGAAATTCAATTTTTTAATTTCTTTTTCATTTGCATGTCTTGGAATGACTGGGAATTCCTAGCAATTTCAAGCTTTCTGGGAATTTAGTTCACAAAGATTAAAGGGACAGGTTCATGGTTAAGCACATGCTCACTAATTAAATACTTTTTCCAATTTATTTTTAATTCTATTGGTTAATAATCCCACTCTCATGTATCTCAGCGATCTCAGAGTGTATTT